TTGTCTGTTCATCTTGATTCTGGTTTTGTTTGTCTTATAGAAGCTCTTTAACCTGATAAAGTCCCACTTGTTTATTTTTTCCTTAGTTTCCCTAGTCTGGGTAGGCATGTCATCCGAAAAGATTCCTTTATGACCAATGTCAAATAGTCTGTTACCTATATTTTCTTCTATGAGTTTTATAGTTTCAGGTCTCATCTTCAAGTCTTTGATCCATTTTGAGTTAATTTTTGTGAATGGCGATAGCAGATGGTCCACTTTCATTCTTTTGCATGTGGCTGTCCAGTTTTCCCAACACCATTTATTGAAGAGACTTTCCTTTCACAGGAGAATTATTTTTAGTTTCCTATTCAATCATAAAATGGCACAGTGACTTTTCATCAGGTACCATCTCCCTTTGAATCTTTTTCCTCACCTGTAACACAAAAAGATTATGCCAAGGGTCTCCTGAGCTTTAAAGTATAAATCAGCTATAATACACGTAACTTTTAGTTTCATTCACCTAATTGTAAATACTATCTGTGGGTTTCTAAGTGTTACCTGAACATTCATGGATATTGTGAAATGAATAAGAGAAACCTCAATTAAATCGGAGTTGGCAAGACCTGTAGGAAAAGCTTTTATGCTCTATGATACACCATCAAGTACACCAAACAGGATGAGAGGGATGCTTGCATCTTTAATAGGAAGTAAAACTATACTACTGAAGGAAGATTTCTCTCCCCACCAGGCATCAGCCCAGCCAGTAAGAAATGCTACAGCTCAGCCAATGAGAAGCCTTTGCCACCTTGAACTGTTACTCTCCCCTAATGGACTTTCATTTAGAACAGACCTCTCTACTCCTCCTTTTTCTCTATAAAATCAACTCCCCTCCTTTGTTTTCTCGATTTGCCTAGAGTTCACCATAGCATGCACATCCCCAGTTGCAATTCTTTTGGCTAATCCCAAGTAAACTTATTTTGAGGGTAAAATAAGAGGCAATTTTGCTTTTTAAGTTGACAATATTAATACATCATTAACCCACCTTTCAAAAATTCGAATAAGTTCAGTTGCAACTGAAGTCAGATCTGTATGCCAGAGAGGAGTAAGGTAATTTCATGAATTGAATTTCATGAATGGTGGCTGAAATGTCCAAACAAACTGTGGCTTCATCCTTCTTTGGAGGGCACTTGGCAGGTAACTGGACCTCTCACCTACCTCAGGCCAGCAGTCTTCCACTCAACCCACACCATTTCCCCATTTCCCCTGTGCCCAGCCCTCCCTGCCCAGGAGCTTGATCTGTTCACTCACCGGTGCAGCCAGCCCTCCCTCCTTAAAGCGCCCCTAGGCCCACTGCATGTGGATGTGCCATCCACGGAGCTCAGGGACCCTGGAGATTTGAGGCAGGGGCAGTCTGTGGCTGTGGATTAGGGGCTGGGGAGGAAGGGGGTGGGCTACATTGCCGGAAGTGACGCAAGCGGAAGTAGCTGTCTGCAGAGAAAATGGCGGGCGAGTTGGAAATGAGGCCTTGAGGGAGAATGCAACCAAGCTGGTGCCAGCCTGGTTTCCAGGTCTATATCCAGTTCACAACAGATTCACTCCTCAGGCTTTTTGTTGTTGCTCCGGGCAGCACGAGCGGCATCCCTCACGGTGACAACCGGGAGCGTCCCCACGGGAGGACCGAGGACGGCTGTGGAGGGAGGAGGCCGCTCCGAGTGGCTGCGCTGAGGGAGCCTGGACGAGCCTCCGTGCGTCCGGGTTGAGCTCGGCCGAGCAGAGCGGGGCGAGTGTCCCGGGCACCCGGGGCGCCTGCGCGTTGTGGGTGGTTATTCATTGTCGAGACGCTCCCTGTAATTCGGCAAGAGAAAACCATCGTTTTCCGGCATTTCCCTTGGAGGAGAACTAAGCGATAGCAAAAATGTCTATTTTCCCTAAAATATCTTTGAGACTCGAGGTTGAAAATTATCTTAAAGCGGGCTTTATGAATAAGGAGCTGAGTCAGATAAACGTGTTAGATGATATTGGCAAAAATTCCAATATTTACACACTCTAGAGAAATAGAAAAAGTCTAAAAGGAAACCTAATCTTTACAGCTGTTGCTTCTTACTGCTCGCCTTTCCCAGTGTAAAAAATGCCAGTATGTTTCCGCAGGTATTTTATGCGTGCTTTCCGAGATAAGAGGTCAAGGAGGTGCGCCTTAGGAATGGGAAAGAAGAGGGGTGGGGAGTGGTTATGTGCCTGGCAATAGGCAAAGCACTGAAGGGGTTAGAAGGCTGTGCAAGAAAAGACCCTTGACCTAGAGAATGTAAGCCCCTTAGAGAAGATACACTGGTACCCTTAGAGCGCTGGCTCTGTGCTCAGGTGGGAGGGAAACTATAATTTGTTGGGTTGAATTAATTTTATATATATAATCTTAATATAGTTAAGATTAAATTAATTAATCTTAAATGCCACCAGTGGTGTTGGGTGATGTGCAGACCTTTACGTCTTAATCTGCCCAATCTTTTTTGGTAGAGATTTCCTCCCCATTTAAAAAGTGAAAGAACTTAGGGTCCAAAGAGTCATATAACTGACCCAAATTGACGCTGCTCTCAAGCAGCAGTACTGAAATCTGAAGCTGAAGAGCTCAGGCACAATGAAAAAAGGTACAGATTTGGAATCCCAAGCCCTTGCATTGCATCTCACTGCTCTGAGTAAATTACTTGACATCACTTAACCTTGATTTCCTTCTCTGTGAAAATTGAAGATGGTTAAAAAGACTTACCTTGTGTTAGGGTATTAACCATAAGTGAAAGCAACTGGCATTGTTCTGGCACATAGTAAGACCTCAACAAGTGTCCATCCCGTGTGCTCTTGGCAGCGCCCAGCACGGAAGTCCTCACTGCATGTTGGTTGTCTGATGGCCAAGCCTTGCTCTTTCCACTTCGCCATCCTACCTCCCCACAGCTGTGTGTTTTCCAAATCTTTGGTTTTCTATTCAAAGTAAAGATGCTTAAATGTTATTCACTTTTGAAGATGTTACTGAAGCCATGACTTTTAGATTTGATTTCTACATTTTATTTCCAAAGATTATGTTAAGGGACTAGACAGTATGGAAAGAGAAACTAGCTTCTCTTGATTTCAAAGGACTTAAAATATAAAGAGTATATTAAGAGAAATAGAGACATTCAGCAAATTTTTGCCAGCAGGTTTTAAAATGGTGAACATTGTTTTATGAAAGAAGATCCAAATGTCTTTCTTTGACACTACCTGTGCCTCAAACCCACTAACTATATGATTTTACAAAAAGAAAAGCCATCCCTTTCTACAAAGTATCAAAAGAGAAGGAATCTTCAGTTAAAAAAAAGACTAAACCTTGAGAAAGTACTAATACTTTTAGGCTGGCAGATTATTAGGCTGGCAAGTGGTCTGTGAGGCAGGATACAGTCAAAGATGACAAGAAATGGGGAAATATGTGTCTCAAAAAGCTTCAGTTAATTGCAAGGGTTGGTTGAGTCTTTCTAACTTCATTTCTGACAGGTATCTTTGCCACCTATCTTCTTTTGGACGATTTCTATTTGTTACATTTAATAATACCTTATTAAAAAGCTGATGTCATGGGGGATCTTTGGATGACAGTATCAATGTTACTTAATCTTCAAATATCGATGTTTTGAAAGACTATAACCAATATGCTCTAGGATATGAGGTTAGCAATTAAACGGTTGTACATAAGCGATGTACCAACTAGTGCATTATAAATAAGTAGAATGAAATCCCGAATTTATGTGAATAAACATAGTAGAGATGTTGATATGTTCAAAATAATGCTTTGAAGTTGAGGCAGTGTGTTTTTAAGCCCTTTATGTTGGGCACTTTGTTAGGTGTTTATTACCACAGTTAAACCCAAGAACCCTGTGAAGTATTACCATTCCCTTAGTGTTATTAATACATAAACAATACAGAAAAATGAAATGGAACTGAACAATTGCTGAAAGATGTTTCCTTAGTTGGAACAAATATATATGCATATTCTGCTTAATATTTTTAATTCATATAATGAAACTGAAACATTAACTTGTCTTTTTCTTCTTTCAGATTGTATTTGCTTTAGGTAAACGAGAAGCAGAAAGGAATCTGTTAAATCTCCTGTCACACCCTCCATCATTCACAACTGTCAGAGTAAATACACAGCTAGTCTTAGTACAACATGTGAAAAATCTGTTATTTGATGAACTTCAGAAGATTTGTGCTAATATTTTATGTCATTATGTAAATAATTACATTTCTACAGTCTGTCATGTTGTTCCTCACTAAAATCCAATGAATAATATAATACTATTCCAATTTTACAAATAAGGAAATTGAGGATCATGAGTTTTAAATTGTTCAAGGTTACATAGTGAGTGGTGATGCTAGAACTTGAACCTGGTACTTCTGATTCTGAATTATTATTTGTAGTGACTGGATAGGTCACTCAATCCCTCTGGGCCTCAGTTGCTTCATTCATTAAAATACATGTGAAGAGGTTCATTCTAACCCTAAAAGACTACGATTTTATAATAAGCAGCATATAATGACCAGGAGGGCAGATTGTATACCTGCGGTGAGCCCAGAGGTGGGGAGGTGCTTACTGATTACCTGTAGGATTAGATTTTTAATTGACATAAAAAAATAGATGGAGAAGTACCTTATTATCCCTAATAAAAGCAGGAATATATTTTTTAAATAAAACAACACAAATTATTTTTTGTTCAACCAATAAAATAGTTTTGGAATAATACTCATTGTCTGTAAGTGAAAACAATGGTATAAAATGACATTTTATAAGTTTCAAGCAGAAAAATCATATTTGAATGTTCTTGTTGATATTGTCTGAATTCTTTGCTTTCAGAAGCTGTGCATTCTGTGTGTCATACACTGTGCACTAAAATTCGCCTCCAAAGAGATATGAGATGGAGGAAAACAGATCCCTGGGGGGGTACTTCAAATTGTATTTTGTAGTTATTAAATCTCTTATAACAAGTGACTGTGGCGGGTGCCACCAGACCTATTTCTACCTAATTATCATCTACATTAAAAACAAGAGGCAAGATGTTAAAGGACTTCCATTTGTATATCACAGGCTGTGTTTTCAGTTTACTCTAGATAGAACATTCAGAAATTTTCAGAAAATTATCACTGATATTGGCTCCTTTATTTCTTTCTTTTTAAATCTCATTACATTTATGGAATGCTTGTTGTCTCTTTAAGGGCAATTCCATAAATGTCAAGTTGTGAGTGGATGACCATGTTACAAGAAGAACCAGCTATGGTATCTGACTCTATGAGACCAAAACTCAGTACAATATTTAAATAAGACTTGGATAAAAGTTAATCTGGGGCCGGCCCCGTGGCTTAGCGGTTAAGTGCGCGCACTCCGCTACTGGTGGCCCGGGTTCAGATCCCGGGCGCGCACCGACGCACCGCTTCTCTGGCCATGCTGAGGCCGCGTCCCACATACAGCAACTAGAAGGCTGTGCAACTATGACATACAACTATCTACTGGGGCTTTGGGGAAACAAAGGAGGAGGATTGGCAATAGATGTTAGCTCAGAGCTGGTCTTCCTCAGCAAAAAGGAGGATTAGCGTGGATGTTAGCTCAGGGCTGATCTTCCTCACACACACACAAAAAAGTTAATCTGATTGTTAATTAGTGATAATTTTATTAAGAGTAATGACATTAGGCATAAAATATAAGCAGCTCCTCTCAGCAACTACAATTATTGCTTCCATATAGCCATGCATATGGCTAGTAGTAGAAATTTTCAGCTAGTAGAAAAGAAACTGTTCTGAGGCCCACCAGAGGGGTCCATCACTCAGGCAGATCCAGATTGTTCTCTTTTCTAGCAAATGATTCCCAGAGCCTAGATATTCTAGTATCCCAGTTGGATGGGTGCACAAGATCTCAGGGGTGGGTATCTAGGACGAGGCGGACAGAATCACTCTGGGCCTTGAGTCCTTTTCCCTTCAAAGTCAAGTTTAGACGGGGAGGGTTGGGTCCTAGGCCCCAGGTGGGAAACTGGTGTAGAGCAGTACCTATTTCTAGCAGGAAGGGGGACTTGGAGGAGGCTTTAGACTATAGATGTTCTTTCTCCTTCCATGTTCCAGGGCTCACGTGTGTCCTAAAGACATTTCCGAAAGGGTATGAGTAGGTGGTTTGTCCCCAGATTTCTCATGGCCACATATTGAAATTTAATCATTTAAAATTTCACTTGGCTGGTGAGGATATGGGGAAACTGGAACCTTCATACATGACAGGTGGGAATGTCAAATGGTTTGGCCTCTTTGGAAAACAGTTTGGTAGTCTCTTAAGTTAAACTTACTACAAAACCCAGCAACTCCACTGCTAGGTACCTACCCAAGAAAATTAAAACGTGTCCACACCAATGCTCGAACATGAAAATTCATAGCAGCGTAGTTCATAGAGCCAAAAGGGAGGAACTACCCAAATGTCCATCCCCTGGTGAACATATGAACACAATATGGTCTATCCATACAGTCAAGTACTGTTCAATGAGAGGAATGAACTACTGGTCCATGCTACAACATGGATGAACCCCCAAAACATTATTATTTTAAGTGAAGAAGACACACAAGACACCATATATGGTGTGATTCTATTTATAGGACATGTCTAGAAACGGCAAATTTATAGAGAAAAAAGGTAGATCAGTGGTTGCCTGGGGTTGGAGCTGGAAACAGAGATTGACCGTAAATAGGCATGAGGAATTTCTGTGCAGTGATGGAAATAATTGAAAATCAGATTGTGGTGATGGTTGCACAGTTCTTTAAATTTACTAAAAATCATTGCATTTAAAATGGGTGCATTTTATGGTATATAAATTATGCCTCAATAAGGCTGTTTTAAAAAGGGCATGGGGGAGAAACAAACAGAAAAAGAAGCGAGTGATAAGCTTAGTTAAAAAATAGGGTTTATTTGGGTTGTTATGAAAGTTATGCACATGTGTGGTTTTAAGAAAGTTTATTTCTGTATCATCTTAACATCTGATAGAAAAGGAGAGAAGGAAACCCTTGGCTTAGGAAGGATTGATCTCTGTGTAAAATATTTCTGGAGTGTAAAGCACATAGTACTTCTAAAAAGAAAAGCAAATGACAAAATTCATTCTCCTTCTTCTCCTTGGAAAGATCAGTTTACCGTAGTCTTGGTACTGTAAGGCATCAGACAATGAGAGCATGAGAGAGAGCGGGAAAGAGAAAGGAGAGCTGTTTGATGGAATGAGAAGGAGTTTACCCTTCTGCCTGGAAGACGCAGAAGTCAGGAGAACTGTCGACTTGGTAGAAATGTAGTTAGAATTCTAAAATACAAACAATTTTTTTCTCTTATCAACTTAGAAATGAGTTGACTTTAGAAGTTTTTTCCGGATACTGTGTGGATACTATAGGGCAATGCAAATGTCTATTATTGTTACTGCTCTTTCATGTAGTATGTGAAAATTAATGAGATGATAGTTCCTAGCCTTCATGGCAGAGGCTAGGAATATTCTCAGATATTCGCATGTTGCCCTCTGATAGAGGACACAGGCGTTGCTCTCCAATCCACTCTTCTGTTCTCTATTCTGCTGCGTGCAGTGCCCAGTCATCTTCTGCCTGCAATGGTGGTGCACTGGTACATATTGAACAACTCACTTTCTGGGAAAAATAACCCTGGTTTATGGTGTTTGCTGATTTCCGTAGTGTAAATACTCCCACTGTGGTCGGTTTTAAGCTACCAGCGTGACCATGGAGTTGGGAAGAGATGCATGCAATTGCCTCTTAGGACACTGTGTGAGCTGGCCCCAGCATCGATACCAATGGCCCTGCACCTGTTTCCACTCTGAAGGCCAAGTACATAGAGGATACTGAAAATTTTGAACCTTTGCCAAAAAAGCATTTCTTTCCCTCATCAAAAGCGACATGGCATCAGTGTTGATAGTGTACAATAAATAGTATTTAATAATCTCACTCTTTAATGTCTATTTAGAAGCTTTTCTTAAAAGAGTACTGCATGCAATTCTATACTGAATACATTTTCAAAGTAAGTCATTTAAGGTAAGTGTGGTTTGTATTTATAAAGCCAAATAAGCAAAATTGAGCCTTTAAAGAAGTCAGGGGGCCGGCCCTGTGGCGTAGCGGTTAAGTGCGCGCGCTCCGCTGCTGGCAGCCCAGTTCCGACTGGGCGCGCACCGCTTGTCAGGCCATGCTGTGGCAGCGTCCCATATGAAGTGGAGGAAGATGGGCACAGATGTTAGCCCAGGGCCAGTCTTCCTCAGCAAAAAGAGGAGGATTGGCATGGATGTTAGCTCAGGGCTGATCTTCCTCACACACACACACACAAAAAAGTCAGGATACTTCAGAATCAAATTATAGAGAAAACGTAGTTCAACATAAATTTTAATTGATTTCGATAACTGTACTGGAGTTATGTAAAGAGAATATCCTTATTCCTAGGAAATACACAATGAGGTATATAGAGGTGAGGGAGCAGAATATCTATAATTTACTCTAAGATAGTTAAAAAAAATGTATGTAAAGAAAGTGAATGAACAAATCAGACAAAGTGGTAAAAAATTGCGTAGTCTTGGTTAAAACTATGGAGAGAGTTAAAGTTTGAAATTATATCAAAATTTTAAATTAACAAAAAAAAGTTTATAGAACGCTATGTTCAGAATGAGCACTTATTTACTTATTTATAAAAGAACAATTAAGAACTAAACTTTAATCAGTTAAATCTGATAAAAAATAAATTAATAATATATTTCAGTATTTTTTCATGTCAAGTATGGTAAAAGGAAGATATCTTCCCTTTTGGAAGATTACCTCCAAGCGTAGTAAGTTTTTATGGATTTTTAAAGTATTCAACAACTTCCTGTAATTCTTGTTTAGCTTCCTCCACCTAAAGTGACACAATATACCAAATAATTTTAAATAATGATTAGACTATCAAGGTATCCTCTTTGAAAACCATGACTTTAATTGGAAATTAACTTGGCTTTCTCTTTGTTTCAGTGAAAGAAGTAGAGAAAAATGTACACAGAAATGGTTTTCTCCTAACCTTCACTTTCAGTTATGCAAAATCTTACATATCCCAACAAAACCATGTTTAACTTCTTACATTTTAAATAAATAGTGCTTCCTCCAGTTAGCAGGGACTGTTACATTCAAAATTCTAGTAAATGTCTCAGTAGCACTTGATATAAACAAAAAGAATCACCTAGCAATTTTCAAATGCAAAACTTTTTGGGCCTGGGTGTAAGTTTCAAGGGCAAATTATGTGGAATTACTATATATTAATGATAAGGGAGTCTGTGTTTAAGTGATAACATTAATTTGTGATTAATTATGAGGTTGTTTTCATCATAAGCAATTACTGCTAGATTATAAATGATTCAGTTCCTAACAAAAGCCAAAGGACAATCACTAAAATCAGTACAGAATTGCATGCTGTGGTGTACTGACATTGTTTGTTAGTGGTCATGACAAAAGAAGTTTGGAAGATTTAATCCCTAAAATATAAACTTTTGTATATTTTCTCCCTAATGAACGTCTTTTGCTGACTTTTGATTATCTTACAGGTTTTTAATATTTGTGGTTTTATTCAAGAAGTGTTAATTTCATTAAACTTATTTGAATCTTTTCTGTTTTGGTAGAGGAAGCAAAAGCAAATGCTCCTTGTGTTATATTTATTGATAAATTAGATTCTGTTGGTGGGAAGTGAATTGACTCTCCAATGCATCCATATTCAAGGGAGACTATAAACCAACTTCTTGCTGAAATGGATGGGTAATGGAATCTTCCTCTGTCTCTGGAATATAGTGGTATTTTGGGAAACATTCTAGAGATATGAAAACTATCATATTTAAAGGGGACAGAATAATTCCTCATGCAAGAAGTCAAGACAAGCTTTTCTCAGTATTGTATTGTTTCCATTACTAATGGGATAATTGATGTATCAACTCTTCGTTGGTGATATTTACACCTTTTCTCATTTATTGTGTCATATTTATGACGGGAAAGCAGTGATTCCAGCTGAGACTAGTGGTCTATTTGGAGCTGTAAAGGGGAGAGTACGCTGGTTCGCACATAATCTGTGACTAGCTTTAAGTGTTGTGGGAGATTACAAAGCTTGCATCTGTTTTCATAATATAAAAAGCAAGAGGTGGGGTTGCTTTGAAAGAAGCAGAAACATTTCTTTAAGTCATACAAGACATTCTGGAAACAAATAGGAAGTCTAGGAGCAAATAATTTGAATTGGTAAATTTGAAAATAATTTTTCAAAAATAAGCAGGTAACCAAGCTTTCTGTGTCATCATCCCTTCCTAAGCAGGACACCTACTGTGGAGGTGTGTAATCACAGATGATTTGGGGATTTATTACTAGCAGTTTTATTGAAGTGCATTGGCTGAACATCTGCTCTTTTTAAAAAACAATTAGAGATGCCTTATCATTTTGGGCATAGAAAAGATCAATCCCTTTTTTTTGCTGTTGTTAAGATTAATGATAAAACAGTTTTATGTAGAGCGTTTCTATATGTGTGCATATAGAATGTGTGCACATGTGTGCATATGTTTTAACTTTTGGTGAAAATCTACTTTAAAAAAAATAGGTTTAAATCTAATGAAAGAGTTATCGTAGGAGCCACAAACTTCCCAGAAGCGTTAGACAAGTAAGTATTAAAAGAAAATTTTTGTAAAATACTGATACCTGCTAAAACATGGATGAACTTTAAACACATTGGGCTAAAAGAGAGAAGTCCATCACAAAACATCACATATTATTCCATTTATATGGAATGTCGAGAATAAGCAAATCCTCAGTGCCAGAAAGTAGATTAGTGATTGCCAGAGGCCAGGGAGAATGGGGAGTGACTGCCGGTGGATATGGGGTTTCTTTTTGGGGGGGTGAAAATATTCTAAAATTAGATTGTGGTAATGGTTGCACAACTCTGAATATATTAAAAACTACTGACTTATTCACTTTAAATTCTGTGATCTGTGAATTCTGTCTCAATAAAACTGTTAAAAGAATCTTGTGACAACTTGTATCACAAAAATTTTCAAGAGGAGGAGAACGTTTTTAAAATAAAATTTACTATAGTATTAAAGTTTTGTTGATTTTATTATAGAAGTTATTCATATTTTCATTTCATCTAATAGTTTGTCTTTGCCTAAGACTCTACTTTAACATTCTATATTTCGGCAGTTAAGATGGGTGTGTAGCTCTCATAGTCCACTGCTATAGGATTATTTGTTCTCGACTGACTGACTTGTGCGTGTTTGTTTCTGAGGGATGTGTGCTCTCTAGATGCACAAATATATTTATATGAACCTTTGTTCTGCCTTCTGGTTATTGAAACTGTTATATGAGCCATGTTTTACAAGGAGCTATCAGATCATTTATGTTCAAACTCCATCTACCCTCTGGTTGCCATTGTCTTTCCATCCTCTCCTTAGTGTGTCCATCCTGTTTAACTTGACCTTCCTCATAGTCAGCTTATGAATTTATATTTTCTTTTTCTGTTCTCCTTTTAGTGCCTTAATACATCCTGGTCATTTTGACATGCAAGTTACAGTTCCAAGGCCAGATGTAAAAGGTCAAACAGAAATTTTGAAATGGTATCTCAATAAAATCAAGTTTGACCAGTGTAAGTCTTAATTCCATAGTACAAACATCATTATCTCTAAAAAATGGCAATATATCAATCCACCCTGTTTGTGGTCCTTATTTGATAAATGTCTTAAAAGACCAGTTCCTTTATATGTCCTTTTTTCCCTCCAGTTATATGTCATTTTTAAAAAGTCCATTCCTTAATTAGCATGTATCCAGAAGATTCTATCTTTTTGAATCCTGATTCTAAACAAAGTTTTCTTTAGAGTATTCAGATAGATAATACTTGATGATGAATATATGTATAAGTGTTTTTTAAGATGAATGTAAAATATAAAATAATAGAAAAAGCACCTGTATATCATGAACACTGTACCTCGTGATATAGTCACTTTGGGGCTGAAAGAGGGGAAAGCAAACTGGAAAACAAAACACATGGAAATATTATGGACTCATGTGAGTAATGAAAGCAGCTATTAAAGCTCCAGTATTTTCAAAGATGGCTGAATCAGTTCATAAAACAAAATATATTTCCTATAATAAGGGGAGCTTTTATGTCAAAAGTATTTCAAGGTGAAATTCAGAAAAGAAAATGTTGTCTATGAGCATGCTTTTTCAATTCATGGTTAGGCTAGTAATGATATAGGTCATAATGAAAGTTTGTAAATCATGTCTGGCAACTTTACATTTCTTTTTTTTTTTTCCACAGTTATGGAAGTTTAAGAACTTTTGTGACTTGTCCCAATGGCATATTTAATGGCAGTTTTGGCTTTTTTCCCTTAGAATTCAGTAATGTAAGTTTATTTTTTTAGTTTCATTAAAATAAATATTTTAAATTATAGTTCAGGATAGCGGTTTTCTTTTTCTTTTTAGAATGTGAGTTCTTTGTGAAGAGCTAGTTTTAGAATTTTAATATTGTGTTCTATCTACATAGGTGTTGATCCAGAAATCATAGCTCAAGGTACTGTTGGCTTTTCTGGAGCAGAGTTGGAGAATCTTATGAACCAAACTGCATTAAAGGCTGCTGTTGATGGAAAAGAAATGGTTACCATGAAGGAACTAGTTTTCCAAAGATGAAATTCTAATGGATAGGGTTTTTTTCTTTTTTTCTTATGCTATTAATTATATTAGAGAATAAATGCTTCTTTTTGAGAGAAAGGTTATAAAAAGAAGGTATAGGAACATGAAAATATATACTCATAAATAGCAACACAATTTATCCTCTTACAGAAAAAATATATTATAGCTTATATGATTATGATACCGAGCAATGGGCTTGCTCTGCTTGCCGTGATCTGAGCCAATTAGTCACAATGAGTTAGGGATTGAGAAAGGAAGTTTTAATTCAATTAGCCAGCATAATCAGGAAGATGGCAGACTAATGTCTCAAAAAACTGTCTTCAAGCATTACAGAATCTTGAGGCAGTTAAATAGGGAAAATGGGCAGTAAGAAGGTGGTCCAGGGATGTTAGTCTCCAGGCATGATGGGCTCCAGGCATCACATTGTTCCATTCTTCTGTCAGCTGTGATGGATACCTTGTAGATGTGTTTCTTGCTTGTGGTCAACCTGTTCCTTGAGAGAAACTCATAGAACAAAGTTTTAACCTATCAAGCTATAGGGGAGGACATATGTAAGTGGAGGTCATAAACCAGGAGAGCATGTGAATTTTTTTAGAGAACATGCAGAGCAGTGAGTAGTCACACAGAGGAGGGCCTGGGGCCATTTAGCATAACAAGATGGCCTGACTTATGCTCATTTACAATTACGCCACTTGGGGGTGGGGGTGGGGCCCATGTGTTTCATCTTGTCTGATATTGCTGATAAAAAGAACAGTTAATTTTACTTAGATTTAGTATTTAATTTTGATTTTAAATCCTCAGTTGTCTTCAAAACAGATTGATTATAACATTCCTGTTAAATTGGAAGTTTATTTTCTAGAAATAGAATTAAGCTTTCCCTGTTAATATAAGGATTCAGATGATAACTCTTACAATTTTGGTTTTCAGTTGACAAATTGTTGTGGTTTATGTGTTGTAGGGTGAATTCTACTCATTTTTTAAACTTTTACTCTGCTTAAAATATTTAATAATAATATTTAATCACGTTACTCTAAGAATGACTTTAAGGCAAATGGGTTTCATTCATTTAAATATACCTTCCTAAAGGAGAATTTTACTTAATTAAAATTTTGTCCTTGGGGCCTTGAACATAGAAGTGTGGAAACTGATAATAAAACCATCACAGAGTATCATGAGTCTGGTCATGTTATTATTGCATATTACACTAAAGATGCAATGCCTATCAACAAAGCTACAATCATGCCATGAGGGCCAACACTTGGACATGTAAGCATCTTACAGTTTTTTCTTTTCTTTCTTTCTTTCTTTCTTTCTTTCTTTTTTCTTTTCTTTTCTTTTCTTTCAAATAACACTCCCCAGAAGCTTAAGTAGGAAGTTGCCAATGAAACATTTAAAAAGAAAATTCAGGGGCCGGCCCTGTGGCTTAGCAGTTGGGTGCGTGTGCTCCGCTGCTGGCGGCCAGGGTTCATATCCCGGGCACGCACCGACACACCGCTTGTCAGGCCATGCTGTGGCAGCGTCCCATACAGAGTGGAGGAAGATTGGCACGGATGTTAGCTCAGGGCCGGTCTTCCTCACACACACACAAAAAAAAAAAGAAAATTCAGCTGCTTCCTAAGTTTATTGATACTTTTTTTAACATTCTCAACTATCTTGAAATCAGACATACTTGTGAAATTTATCTGCTAATAAAGAATGTTTAAAAAATATTTCAGATTCTGTATATTTACATTATGAAATTTAATTCAGGAATGACAGCAACGTATAATTCTTATATATGTAATTGTTCTTTTCCCACCAAAAAGAAATTATATATCACAGTGTTCAATAATTTTTCTAAGATTTTTTTCGTTGAGTACAAGTTTCATTCTCATATCTTTCTAATTATAGACATTTTAAACATTTTTGTGCAACTAGAGATAAAACAGTACTATTGCAGCATTATCTACCTCATTTATAAAATGCACTTTTGCTGTGTAGAGAATTTTCCTTATTTTGTCAATTGCTAGTTTTGTCATAAGTCACTGACGACCGTCTCTGCTGAATGCCCTTGAGCTTTCAGCATCTGGGTGTTGTCAGGTGGTGAGAGACCCGTGATCATTCTGCTTATTAATATAAGTGTTTCCAACCTGTGTCTGAGGTTTGTCTTTGTTTTTCAGTTGTCTATGTGTCCCTGCTGCCTGAGAATGACAGATGGAATGAGACTAGAGCTCAGCTGCTGGCACAAATGGATGTTAGTATGGGAGGAAGAGTGGCCGAGGAGCTCATATTTGGAACTGATCATATTACAACAGGTTGGCTGTAAAGCACGGCATTCATTCAAATTGTGTTGGCTGGTTTAAAGATATATTTTTAAAATTGAGTTCTATGTATATTTGTATTTTATTTATTTGTTTTTTAATTGTTATTTTTATGATTCAAGTGTAGTTGACATACAATATTGTATTAGTTTCAGGTGTACAACATAGTGATTTGACATTTATTTACATTACAAAATGATCACCCTGATAAGACTAGTTACCATCTGTCATCATACAAAGTTATTGCAATATTGTTGACTATGTTCCCTGTGCTGTTACAGCCATAGGCTAAGAACAGTTTATATCTGTGACCATAAATATTCAATTCTGCTTTAGCTGCAAAACCATAATGGGTATTGGAATGGGGGATATTGATTATTGACTCTCTATTGCTTTCCCTCTCTGACATATTTATTCAACAAAGGGTATTATTTGCTCGTGCCTAGCAGTGTGCAAGTGCTGAGAATACAGAATAAGCCAGACACACGTCTTTTTGACTGCAGTGTCTAATAGAGATTAGGGTAAAGGAATGTGTAAGAGTAAAGTCAGTTAGTACTGTGGTAATCCAGTCATGGTATAATGGATGCTTGGATTAGAGTGGTGAAAGTAGAAACTGAGAAACAAAAGTGGGTGGGTTCAAGAAATACTGATATAGTGAAATCAACATGCTTTTGTGATGTTTTGGCTGAGAGAGCAGCTAATAGAAAGCTGTTTTTTAGACTATAAAGCTGATTATTTAGATTTTAAGTTTGGAAGATCCTAAAGAATATGGGACAAGTGTAGAGCCCAGAGGCTTCATAATAATGGAGATGATTAGATTACAGAAGGTCAGTCTGATAAGAGTGGGGAGTAGATTTGTTAGATAAAGCAAAGGAACAGAGAGAATATTCAGAGGAAACAAATAACTTAGATGTCCCTGTAGTTAGCTAAATACTGATAAATTTGGCTAATAGATTTGAGGAAAAAGTAGCTACACTATATGTTGTTAAAATTTTTAGCAATTATCTTAACTTTCAATAAAAATAGCCCATCTTGTGTGCATTTTACTTGATTTTTTTTCATCTGCATCATACCATTCTTCAATATTACATCTTTCTAGTGAAATCTTTACCACCTAGTTTGTGCCTTCCCTAAATATCTGCCAGAAACTGTCAACTTTTTCTCCTGTTACAAAATTATAGCTTAAAAAAAGTCCTTCACTCTGGAATACACAGACATCAAAACATACTCATTACAAATTCTAAGAAGCATGCAAGATTTACATAAAGGAAAAGAACTACCAAAAGCGAATGAGGGACATAAAAAGAAGTTAAAATGGTAGAGTAGGGATGCAGGAAGAAGCAGGCCGTTCAATGCAACAGAATGGAAAACCCAGAAAGAGAAAAAACGTGCCTGAGGATTTAATGTAAGATAAAGTGGTATTGAAGCTGGGTACCTGAGGGTTACTGTAAATATTCAATAAGATTACCTTTCAACCTTGTTCCCAACACAGACATAGATGAAAAGGAGTTGATCTTGTCAATTTGTTGTTTTCTTGTTTAACCTGATGGGTGACTCAGGGTCACAAGGATTTATGAGCTTGTTTGACAGAAGAAAAAGAATGCCTTCAAGGATCACCAGACAACCAGTCCCCAGGTTCTGTTGACACCCAGAAGTCAGATTGCCCAAAGGCTTATCTGGAGTGAAAGAAACACAGATTACCCCTTGTTTCTCTGAAACTCCTCCTCCCAAGCCCCTTAGCTCTATAAAACCTCCTGCTTTCTTCTCTTGTTAGGGTGGATTTGAGAGAACCTATCCTCCTGCTTTCTCAGTTTGGCCAAGTGGAATAAACCTTTCTCTGTCTCCAAGCACTGATGTCTTAATGATTGACTTATTGCACATCCAGCAGGAACTTGAGATTAAGAGTTTAGTTATCAATATTTTAAACGAGGTGAGAAAAGGTGGATTGTTTGGGGCGAGTGAATAGCCATTTTTTAAAAAGTTAAATGTTACACTATGCTTCAAAATAAATCTTGGATTGATTAAGGATTTAATTGGGGGAAAATAAAAGCAGAAACTAAAAGTAAAGAAGATGTAAATAGGTAAGATTGGGCAAAAGGGGAAGGTTAAGAGGCATGTGGAAATGCCTTTCATTTCATCTGGAGAATGTGCATTGGTTTTTCCCAAGTTTGCACTGGATGACACATATTGCCACGATGGGTGAAACCTTGAAAACAGTTCAGTTGTTGCCTCCCCTCAATTTCGCGGAGCCCTTCAGGCACTCACACGCACGTGTTTCCTGCATTAATAGGCTGCAGACAGTTAGTTTGGGCTGAAAGATTACAAACCCTGGACCTTCGTTACTGGAATGTTGTGGGGCGACAGGGCTGGCTCATTGGTGGTAGTAGATTTGTGCTTAGGATGCAGTGAAAAGCCAAGAGGGAGGCGAACTGTCTCTGAAACACAATGAGAAAGATTGTCTGCTTCGGGCGTCGGAAGGATGAGTCGCCCTGGGCTCCTCCACCAGCCGGAGGAGGGATGGCCGCATCCGGCGTGAGATTAGAGTCAACTCATGGTCCAGGTACCACATCCGAGACACAGATCTCGGAAAGATACACAAAGCTGCCAGTGTGGGCAATGTTGCCAAAGTGCAGCGGATTTTACTGAGTGGAAAAAATGTTTTAAATGACAGGGATAAGAGGACCAGGAAATACAACTTCGAG